CTGGCGCCTTGAATTATATGGTGCGTGTGGCATTAAACCCCCTCTGAGTTCTCGAATCGCTACCGACAAGATTCGGTTACAATATTACAGAAATAGAATAAATTCAGAAAATATAGATAATATTCGAGATAATATATTGAAAAGTCAAAGGGATAACTATGTATTAATCTCTTCCAGAAAATTTTATAATTTTAATAATCACCCGCATCAATGCATGAAAATTAAATCGGTTCGTTAGAATCTTTAGCGTTGCAATTTGTATAACATTTATTCTTCTTTAAAGCCCACAAAAAGTGTATCATTCTTCTGCTCTCTCGAGGATTCTTTTTTTTTTCTCATTCATAATAAATTCATGAAACTAACTGAGTTAATAAGCTATCGTCATGGTGTGTGAATATCATGAATATTATTTATTCCTTTTTAAGCTTCACATCAATTCCCAAAAAGTTCGAGACCTAAGCCATCACGGAGGAAGAAATCAATAATAAGGAAAGTCCATAAGCCACGGAGGTTATCAGTGACGGACTAATCAGATAGCTCAGCTCATTACCCTATTATACCATCCATAATAGAAGAGAAACCCGAACAAGGAATGGATTCTTATAATTTTTTCAGGACACGTAGAGCAATGCCGTACAATTAGGATTGGAGGCGTGACGTACCATCAATAATAAGTAGCTATAGAGTAGTCTATAATTGTCATGGATTAGAGCAATCAATTCATTTCTGGCTGCCACTCCATGGACCCTCCTCGCTTCGTCGACCACTACAGGTAATGGTGAAGTAATATGTAGGAATTCTAAAAAATATAGCTGCAATATTAGTTAAATTATGATTCAATAATAGTATAGGATTTAGAAGATAATGCGATAAGTATTTTTATTATATGTGTAAATTAATGCAGGTGAAACAATGAATGAATAAATTAATTGAAAGGATTCATTTTGAGAATAGTTTTTTTTTTAAATTGGCAAATCCTTAATACATACCTTAACAAACAATTTTTGAAGATTTCCTGCTATAACAGGTGTCTTTTGAAAGAGAGTAAAAGAAGAATATTTAAAACAACAGAAATTCAGAGATAGATTTTAATGGGTTTACACTTTGGTTAACTGCATTTCAGTAATTTTTATATGTTCGATGAGGTACCGATGGTATATTTTGTCACAAAGAGTACAACAATACAATAATTCTAGAAAGATAAAAAAAATATTGATGGGTTATTCAGTTGAACACTGGAATTTTGCTGAAGCTTTGTTGATAAAGTATTTGCCTTAACCTTAGAAAAATATATAAACAGAAGCTTCCTAAAAAAATAAAAAAAGAAGATTGATAAATTTCGTGAATTTGTAACCTACAAATGATTTGGGTAAAAATAATGTAAACAGAACATTCCCTCAGAGAAAACGATTTCTAAATTTCTTCCATGAAATCCATGGCAATGGAAAATTATATTCCCACTAGATATATAAATTGTTTTTATATTGGTTCTATACACTCTATAAAACTGTACCAGGCCTTAGAAATCACATGATCGCCTTATCGGTCATTATATGTTCAAGTTGTAATGAAAAGTGGATGAAAATTGAATAATACACTTCTGGAGCCCAATTATAAGCAGCAACAGCTCCGCATTTGGAAACAAAATTCTTTAAAGCTTTTCATAAAAACAATCTCAAAATATAGTTTATCGAAATAATCCTCAAATAATAATAATTAAACAATCCTTCTGGCCAAGGTTTAAATATCCATTTTAAATTTTAAAAATGGGAATGAGGGAAATTTCACGGCAGTCATTGCAATGATAGTTATAAAACAATTTTATTAAAATTTGTTGGTATTTCTGGAAATTCCAATAATGGTTTAAAAAAAAAATTGCATTTAACTAATAGTAGAAAAGTGGTTGACCTTGATTTTTTTTTTTTACAATAAGAGACATGATTAATTCAATTGGACATATGAAGCAGTACTTTGGGGTTCAGCAAAACAAACACACATACACAAAATACAAACAGCACAATTAAAAATTTTACGAAAAATTGTTAACGCACCTTGGTACATTTTAAATACTACTGAACATAACGACTTAACCACCCCAACAGTAAAATCCTACATCCACGACTAATACACTACATTTCATTCTTCAACCCAAAATCACTCCAATCCTCTGGTTCTTTCTATTTCCTGCTCTCTGTTACCTGAACAGCGCAAATTAAGAAGAAAATGGCCAATAGACCTACTATATCAATAAAAATCAAGCAAATACACCAAGACAGTAATAACACAACAAATTTGCTAGATGCGCAGCCGAGCAGGTGCAAATTGCATAAAATATAAATAAATAAAATATATCAAGGAATCTCAGTAAATGTTGAGTAATCAACTTAAAAATATCTTTACCTAATTTTATCACCACCTCATATAATATTATATAGTTAATATATATCTATATTCATATATTATGATAATCACTGTTCTAGATCACTCCTAGGCTGGCTTCGCACCTGTGGACTCTCCACACCCTGGGGTAAGAAACCTTCCTTCTTCTGGAGACTTATAATACCTTGCTACAACGCCCTTCTTGTTATCATGGTCTGCTACATGCTCTTCTTGTATATCTACCCCATCATGAAGAACTCCATACCTTTTGCGGTAAAGTATCGATGGTTTTTTTTATAGTATTATTATATAAATTAATTAAATTAAAATTATATTAACAGCTATCTTGAATTTAATTATAAATTGTAGCCTCCTTTAAACGGTGACAGTTTTCACTTGTGGTAGTAAAATCAAGCGAGGTTTAGACACAATGCTTTTAGCTGAAAATGTGTTCTATAAATATAAAATAACTGATGCAGTAGTAACAAAAATAAATCACAATTCCAAATCGAATGAATTATTTAATTCATTTTTTTGTATTTTGTTGTGAAGTAGGTTCACTTATTTGTGGTTTGTTTAAGTAATACAAATTAATTAGGTATTTGTTCCTTCCATAAATTTGCTTGAATGATAGAAACATTCGACGTTTTCTATTAAGTGTGTTCCTGTTGCTACACCATCAGTCATATTCTCAAATGGACTTTTTGAGGAAGAATTTATAATCTATATAAGGGTCTTCTTCAACAAAATATTATCCAGCATAGTATTCGATATTCTATGGAAAGAACCTCAAGTGTTGAAGAGCTGGAGAAACAAGATCTCGCTATTGAGCTATCATTTTATCTCTCTCACTAAATGCTTTATAAACAAAGGATAAAAAGAACACAATAAATAAACTATGAGATTTTTATTTCTTCCCCAAGAATCATATAACGTACAAATGTTACTTAGAATCAATTAAATTCAAAAACCATTTCGGTTGTTTAGATAATATAAGGGTCAATAATTCACTCGTATTTGTATGTATACACGTGCCAAATAACGAAATAATTGCTGTCACCACTAGTAGTACGACATTACTACCAATCACGGAACCCCCTCTCATAAAATGGAAAAATTGGTACTTATTTGTTTCTATGAGTGATCTGATCTAAATACTTCTTTTTTTTTTTAGTTTATTTCTATGCCAACACCTTTCAGAAATACTGAGAACCAGTGAGTGTGCTGTCGGAAAAAATTATAGCATTAAGACATTGATAGTCATGGAGAAGAGCGGCATTATTTTCAATCTTAGCTTTAGCATATGACTGATTGTATGTGAAGATCTTTATGTAACGTTAAGGTTTATGACACAATATGAAATTATAGTCCTAAAATTTTAGACTGAAATGTTTGTAGTTGACGTGGTGTCCTGTGGTGTTCCCATATATCTGTGAAGCATGGTTCCAAATGTACTTAAGTACGTAAATGTAAGTGTTCAGTTTCTATTTTAGTTTTAATTTTGAATGTCTAAAGGGAATTGTAATTGTCTATTATAAAAATCATAGTCTGAGGTTTAACTTTTTCCATTTCTTTTCGTTGATATTTGAGCCTCGTCATTCTTCCGTCATAGAAAATAGTTCATTGCATAATTACTTTTAGAAACATGAAATTACTTTTCAGCTGCTACTTGTAAAACTGTATATAAGCGGAGAATATCTTTGTAGTTATTCTGAGCCATCAAGTACGACGTACATAACATTGTCACTAACATATTAAGAAGTGTCGTATCTATCCACCCCTAACCTGCACCTAGAAATGGATACAGCCAGATTCTTCTGTAAGGGGTTCACCCTCAAGGTGAAGATGAGGACTCTGCCTTGTTGCCGGAGCCCCAAGTCCGCCTAACTTCTCGGCCCCACAGCGTCCAGCTAGTCACCATGCCCATAAGGCTCATCAAGCTGCTGTGACATGTGAAATGCTGAAATGGCTGTCGTGGTAACTGTCATTCTGGAAATGATGTTTTTTTTTAATAAACAGCATGTCAACCATTCACTTATATATATAATGATAAGTCATAATTAATTATGACTTATCATGACTCATAATTAATGTTTCCTTCGTTAAAATATTTTATTCTAAATTTTCTCTATTTTTTTTTTTAGGAATTGTGTCTCTTAGGAAATGGATTTGCATTATTGGGATGCAGCCTGGCCATCACATTGTACTTGGTGCTGTTCAAAGGGAAGTTGAAAGTGATCATAGACGACATGGACTCCATCGCAGCTACCATCCATCAGAACGAGGTGGGAGGCGCAGAGTTCTTGCATGAGATGTACAGGAAGAAGGCCAAGCTGATGATGGTGCTCACTAACAACTCGATATACTTCGGCTTCCTGACCCCCGTCATCTTCTGCTGGTCCGTCCCCACGATCGGCTGGCTCTCCGGCAACTACCGGGCCAACCTGCCCATCCAGATCGACTGTCCTTACGACTACCACGCTCCGCTGGTTTACGAACTGATGGTGCTCTTACTGTCCTGTTGTCTTGCCATTTCTACGACGAAAAAAGCAGCTACAGACTGTCTCTTCATGTCACTCTTCAACATCCAGATTACGTTTCTCAAATACCTGAGCGTAACAAAGCGTTATTTTCAAGACGATTTCCGAAGCACCAATAACGCATTGATTAAAAGAAAACTTATCATCTGGATCAGGCTTCATCAAGAAGTGAATTTGTAAGCAGTATTTTTTTCCCTAAATATATAATGGTATATTTATAATGGTCGTAGTGTTGACAATTTTTGAAGTTAATCGGCGACGAGGTCAATTAATAATAAGGCTTCAGAGCAGTGCCAGTTGGAATGCCTTGTAAAACGTAGGTCCATCAGCATTCAACGTAGGTCGAAATGTTTGAAAAGACCAGAAAAAAAGCGTACTCCTATTTGATACAGAATTATATATTGATTGGTCTCCCGACCAGCTTCTTCTCAAATCATTTATTTATTTATTCCTTAAACACATTTCGGAGAGCGAGTTCTTATATATGCTAGCATAAGATAACGAAGGAGCCGAGTAGCTCAAGGACCAGGGTTGGAGATCGGTTGTAGCATATCATTACTTATTCTGTTTCATGAGCTATGGTTCGATTCTGAGATGAAGATACTTTTTTGGGACACAACAAAAATCTAAAAAGTGGATGTCCTTAATTAATTCATTGAATAAGAGGAAAAATCCAGCGGCTGATCGTGATCTCGGCCCAATCACCTCTGTGTACAACTGATGGTCTTGAAAGGGTACATCCTAACAAAATACAGTAACAATCTTTTTCCTTTTAAAACAAAACTCATGTAAAGAGGGCGTGATGGTTGAGTAGGATGGGATGAGGTTCCCTGAGTGCTCGGTTCTGAACCTGTGGGTTCGATTTCTTAGAAGTCATTATAAATGCTTTACGAAAACCCGTTATTATTCGTTATGTAAATGTTATTATTCGGGATTTTCAAATTTAAGACATGGCCTCTTATTATTCTAATATATTCTCAGTTTGTTTTTTATTTTTTGCAACAATTGTTTTGAGAAAATACTCGTTGATGGTTCTCTTATACAGTTCTACATTAGTGGGTCCCGAGATCATCGTGTTTTTGGACACCTTGGAATATCGTCATGAATTCCAGGTCCATGAAGAGGTTTAAAAATCAAAGGATTCTGATGAGTCTAGAGTTTAATATTGAATAATAGGATTAGGATCGGATTAAATCGACAACATATGGAACTTCGAAGTCATTATAGATGAATTTTCTTGAGTCAAAGTGAAGAGCTGATGAGATTTTATTAATGGTTTTAAATTATTATAATATTTTTAAGACTAAAGGTAAATTTTAATAATTTAAACTCCAGGCTACTAAATTATATGTTGTATGATTTTAATTATATCTAAATAATTTATTTATTTGAGGTAACTTAATTAAAATGTTCTAGGCAGCATTAACTATTAGTATGTTTAGCTAATCTAAGGTCTTGCCTTTAATTATACGCTGGTTGTGGTGTTGCAGGAACATACAGCAGCTCGTGGCAATATTCTCACCGCTCGTAATTCTGTACAGTGTGGCTATAATCATCATCGTAGTTTGTGGAGCATTTGTCCAGATTATGGTAGACTTACATGTTAATAATTAATTATTAACTTGAGAATTACGTATTAATAAAAGATTTTCTGTTATTTCTACATATGTGTATAAATCCGATTTATAATTTTTCAGAACGACAACAATAATCTTATCCAATCGATGAGTATTGGAATATACGTTGCGATGACTTTCCTCTACCAATTTCTGATGTCCCGGACTGCAGATGAGCTCAATAATGAGGTAACTCAAAACATTTTTTTAAAGCTATAAAAATGTTTTAGCATTAAGTATTCCTCAAAACATTTTCAGTCGTTTTCGATATTACAATTTACAACACTCAAACTTCTTATTTTAAATTGTTGATGACAAATGTAAGTTCTCCACAAGAAATTTTATGATTCAATCATTATTATCTTATTTAGAAGATTCATTCAGATTAGTCTTTAAGTAGATAAGTTGGAAAGATATTTATACTTACGTGTGCATTCATACAATGGCCCTAGAGAATAGCTAAAGGAAATTCTTTTTAATATAAATTACTTATTAACGTTGTTTTTTTTACATTGTACATAGGTGCTAACCCATTGGAAAAAAAACATCAAACACAACGATTATTTATCTGTATAAAATCTCCCGAAAAAAAAAAAATGGAATCTTGTTCCTTCTCGACAACTTGACACACAGTAGACGTAAAAGGACTACCTTTAAATATATATTTATATACAGTGTGTTCCGTTAGTAAATGGATAGAAATATTTATCTCAGCAACAGTTAATTGTAGCCATTTTTGCAGAAAACATGGGTACTTTTGAGTGACTCGATAAAAAATCATTTATATATACAACTTAGTGAATCTGAAAATTTTTCGTAATAAATCTCACCTCAATTATTATAGACTTGAAGCTTATTGAACCTGGAAGTTTTTCTAAATGTGGGTAATTGAAGGACATTTAAAGGGAGATAAAGAAATCACAAATAATTTATGACTTTTTTTTAACGAATCTTAGCAGTTTTTCTGGTCAACAGTCCTCTTTCAATAGGTTTAACAATAACAAACTCTACTTTCTTTTAACGAAAATTTTATCTGGCTTACTATTGAGCAATGTTTAATTACTTAAATTAAATATTTTAAATGTTTTCGTTTCCTATTCAACTAAAAAAGTGACTTGCTTAAAAACCACAAATCTTCAATTTCCTATTTTTCTGCTGAAAATCATCAACTCATTTTTAAGTAAACTTTCTTGTAGCTCTTGAGATCTGCTATATCCCTATAAAAAATTTCCTCTACTTACGGGATACCGATATATATATATATTATATTATTCAAATCTTTACCCACAAAAATCTATCTATATTTCTCAACTTTCCTGGACATACTCCTCACTATTTCATTATTTGGATAGCTTAATGAGAAATTATTTCAGAACTCATCACTGTAGTTTGTAATTATTGAAATTGTAATATCAAAAACACGAGTCATTTATGATTTTTGCTTAATTTTGGCTTTATTACAGGCAAAAAAGTTGGCATTCTTCGCCTATGATCTTCCATGGTACGAAATGAAGAAGCCAGACGCCGACATGGTGCGGATGGTGATCCTTAGGGCGAACAGGCCCATCCAAGTCACTGCTTACTGCGCCCCCATATTCATGCTAAACAGGGAGACCTTCAGGGGGGTGAGCTTAATTTACTTTAAGTTACTGTGCTAAGTAGCATTTGGAGAACATTAACTTAAATCTGATTCGTGTTTCAGTTCATGGTCACATCTATCTCCGCCTTCGTGACCTTCTGTCAGATAAAGGATCGCTACGGCTGAAGGCTCCAGGTTTTTCAAATAAGTAACATCGGATCTCAAAAAATTCTCAGACTTAAGTTTATCTTAAATAATTCATCTGGAGGAAGAATAAACAAAGGCTTTAAAATATTCCTTTCCTATTTGTTGAATTAAACTAAATTAAATCGAGGTTATAGTTAATTTGTATCGGCATTGAACCTTCTGAGCCACTAACTCTTGTATTACAATAATAGCCGAATTAATGTATTTTTATAAAATAAATATGTATACATATCATAATAAAGTACTTAAAACTTTGCTTATGTTTATAACCTTAAAAAAAAAAAAAGTTCCTCAGGAGTGTACATATTTAGAACTGTGGTAAGATTTAGTGGTTGAATCGACGAACAGAAGAACAAGTAGTTCTTGGAAGAAACGAACGGAACTAGTGCGGAACTAGGGGTAGTTTTCATTGAACTAGTGTCCCAATGCAAAAGGTTGGTCTAGAGATAAATGGAAGCAAAAATAAATTACATGGTGGTGTCTAAATCTGAAGCAAGAACGATTTCTGTGAGAGGCTAAAGGTCTTGATGTAAGTAAGTAAGTAATTATTATTACTAAAAACATTGGTACTTTGAGGACAGAGAATTTCACATCACATAATTTTACGAAGCTGTAGGCAAATCTCAGATTATTTTATATAGATAACTTAATTAAAATAACTTAATTAGATTTATGTCAAAGAATATTAGACAGGAAAGTTTCTTAAAGCCGGTGATTCTGTAATCTTAGTAACGGGGCTGAAAAAAAATCTCGAATATTATATATATATTGATTTCACGAAAAACAGAATTTAGTGGAGTAGGACGCTTGGGAGTTTTTTCATATGAGTTCTTTTTGAGTGGTAGTGACAATAACAATTAGCTCCGGCCAGACGAGAACATCTATTAGTCAGTGCCAATAATAATACATAAAATTCATAAAAAATTGAAATTTTATGTTTTAAAAAAAAAAGGCTGATAAATGATTTTTTATTTGTATTTGCCTCTACCCAATAGCGTCATTGGCAGTGAAGTGGAGGCACGGAGCACCCCTAAGTCATAGTTATATCATTACGACTATCCAATCATATAGTTACATCAACTCCTGATCAACTTTCACAAAGATTTTAAAGTACATTTATCAAAGAAAATTTTGTTTTTATTAAGATGCTGCAATTACAAACAAATTAACTCAAATATATGTTTTCTTCTTTATTTCTATTCAACATACAAACTCAACAGCATTGAAAACCATAAAATGTAACTTCGCTCCTGAGCGAAATTGGGCTAGTCGAAAAAACTATTCTTTTGCACTTAATGGTTTTTGTCATTCCCTTAATTTGTGGCAAAATTTATGTTACACTCTGTATACAACTAGAGTTCCATACTACTCAGTACAAAAAAGGACGAAATGGCCGAGCACGTTGGGTGGTTCCCAAAATGCCTGGTTCTGAAAGTTCTAGGTTCGATTCCCACATGAGTTGGTTAGTTTTCATTTCTTGGCAGCCCCGGGATATAAATCTTGACATTTTTACTCTGCTAAATACGTGGCTGTAACGGTAGTCGGTAAGATTTGGAAAAAAAAACCATGAGCCTCACAGCTTAGCACTTCTTTACTTATCGTTTCCTTTTTTTTTTTGTTTTTTTTTTTGGTATTAACATTCAGTACTTACATCGTTGTTTTCTATATTTCGTAATGTAAAAATTGTTAAAGTAAATACAAAAAATATTATCATGATACTAAATAAGCAATAACATAAAAAAAGAGTCAATGAGGAAATAGGAATGCCTACATATCAGAAAATTGTATTTGTGTATAATGTTTAATTTACTATTTATTTAGTATTCGATGGATCGATTCATAATTTTCAAAAATAATGATAGAACAACAAAGAACTTTCGGAAACCATTGCCTGTTTTCTTTAAAAATTGGATTTTCGATTTGTCTCTGCTTTTCGCCAACATTTTCCCACTGACCTGACAAATGCTGATTGTCATGGTATATTCTTTTCTCGCCAAAAATATTTCAAGAATAGGCTTACTTTTCAGACTAGAAATAAAAGAATGACTTCATATATATTAATATACTTTACTATTAGTATAATCTTTAGGTGAGTCAAAACAATCCAGTTCAAAACAATTGATACCAGTAGGGATCCTTTAAAAGTTTAAAGAAAAATTTCTTTCACACTGACTTTAAGGTCATAGTTGTCAAATGATTACTTTTTTATTTTACACAGGACGAGTTTTTTGAAAATTCAATGTCATTAGAACATTCATTCAAAATAAAAAATTTAGATAATATATAGGTCTCAGTAAGTTAGTGGTAAAATGAAACTTAACAACAGTTTAAAACAAAAGTTTAATTCTTATTTATATATATTGCAAAGATTGATTGAATGAATAATGTGCTTAAAAAAAGTTAAAGAAAGAAAAGGTTTTAAGTACGTACGGAATTCCAAAACAAGGTACCACGTATTATAAAGGACTTCATAAATGTACCAGTACTATGAGAAGGAATAAACAGGTTTGTTGGGAGAGATCTCGTATTTAGAGAATGGACAGAGGAACGAGGAATATTCAAATCAAGAAGGTAAATAGGTTTTTTGGTCGTAAAGGATTGGAAATGAAGTACACCTCGAAAATATTACCGTCGGAAAACTGGATAAAGCCACTGCAATTCGGCATACCAACAGGAAACGAGGGAGCGCCTGGGGACTCCAAAGAAAAATCTAATGAAACAGTTCATTAGTTTCTTGACCCTCATCAATCGAAGCGTCGAAAAATATGACAGGAAACTAAGAGCTAACGGATTTTTAGGAGCATGGAATCACAGAATTCCAGGATCTCTTCGATGGTTACAATAGATTTTCCAATAATTTGGGAAATATCATTATTCAAAGACAGGTATTGATAAAAATTATCGCAAAGTCTCTAACGAAAGTGTGGAAACCAATAGGTAGAGTAAGGGATGATAAGAAGTGGAGTTAATAAGATGCTTGAAACCAATGAGAAAGACTTCGGTCTCTTCATCGTTCAACCTCAAACCATTGCTTGCGTTAATATTGTCTATATCTTTTTGCAGCCTTCAGATCGCCTCAAGCATCTGGGTAGGATTGAAGAAATTATATTTATTTTGTTACAATGACCATTTATTGACCTGGGATCGAGAGACCCTCTGAAGGCACGCCTAGCTCCTATAATGTGACTACCTTTAACTAATTAGGAGTAAAATCTTAGAGGTGGGGCGTCATCTAGGTTATACCATCACTGTCATTGACAAATAACAGCAACTTTTTTATGAGTAAGAAATATAAGTACTAAGACCCTTCATGGGTTATAGTGGCTCAATTTCAATTTTATTTTTTTATCAATAAATGATATGAAACTAAAATTACACCAGGAAATAATAAATGTAAACACAGCAAATGAGCATTAATAACTATCTATTGCAATTATTAACTATTTGTAGTAAATGATAGAAGACTTCGTAACATAGTAACTTACTATTTTCTTCTAAAATTCTGTTCCAGGAATACATCTAAATCAATATGAAAATATCATCAGCGTTTGTAATAACTTTTAAAAATTAGAGAATATGGCAAGTTGCTGCTGTGGTTTTTTTCTATAGGAAATCTATTTAGAGCGGGATTCAATAAAAATTAACAGGAACAGTTACTAACGAATAAAGTTATAAAAAAAATTGTTTATAATAACAGACAAAATAATAATTTTCCTTGTGTAACTGATGATAAAAAGTGAACAGTATGCCGTTAAACAATATTCTTTATGCAAATTTTATCGGAAGAAACATTCAGGAAGCTCCTGATAAATTCTAAATAAACAAAAACAACTAAGTTCTTTGAAAAAAAAAACGGTTTTTGTAAAAATTCAATGATTTTAAGTGAGTATCCACATATAAATATGCATAAAGTTCATAAAGTTTTAACTCTCTGTAATCGGAACAATTTGGATTTGCAATCGTTAGGTTGGATTAGTGAAATTATTATTAGGTTTTATGTTTTACTCTGAAATCAGGGTTAATACTTTGTTGTCATAAAAAAAAGATGATATATACAGGAAACAAACAAAATTTATCTTGATTTGCTAGGATTTTTTTTTTATTTCTATAACCTTCATATTATTCAAATTTAATGAAATACTAACCAATTTTGATAATATTTACTGTGGTGCCTACAAAACCAACTTGGTCTTTTTTCCTCCGATCCCAAGCAAAGAAATCAATACAAAAGATTATTACCTTCGATAAGATATCAGTGACAGACTAATGAGCTATCTAATTATCCCATTGCCCTATTGTACCATCCATAATAGAAGAGGTCCCTGCAGACTAAAAAGAAGTCATCATTTTTTCAGGACACACCTAGGACTACCGTGCAATTAGGATTGGAGGCGGGATCATTATCAATAATAAGTGATTGTAAGGTAGTCTATAATTGTCTAATGGTCTACGACACTTACCATTATACATTCCTGGCTGCCACTCCATGGACCCTCCACGCTTCGCCAATCACTACCGGTAATGATATAATATGTATTGTTAAAGTGATAAGAGTAATATTTAGTATACTTATATAATACAATGATAATTATGAAATAAGTGAAACTATGAACAACTTTAAACAGAAATTCAAGATTTTTTTTCTATTTGTCAAATGAAGCATCATCATAAGATAACATAATGCCTGTTTAAGATACAGATTAATCCCTGACTAGGCTTGTATCACTTCTTCATTGTGGCTAAATTTATACAAATGTACAATTTTGAAGAATTTATTTGTTTGACTGTTAAATTTCAGGGATTGCCAGCCCGATTTAATAAAAAGCTTTTTGTGACATAGGTCTTTTATTGATGAAGGATTTTGACTTAAATAAGTAAATCTTGATAATTGTTGACAATTACACTTAGCTTTCCGTTAGTATAACTTGCAGTAACAATAAATAAAACGTAGAGACAAAATTTCACGCATTCCAACAGTCCCAGAATCCATAAGTACGAAAGAGTCAAGAGTAAAACCTCAGTATGTTACTCTTCGTGCTATTCTTCACATATCTGTCCCTGCTTCTTGACTCTTTTCGAAAAATCTTCAGACATAATGCCTCAAGTATTACTTTTAGCTACCGCTAAAAATGGCTTTCCTTTTCCTCATCTCTTACTTTGAAATATCTTTTCAAATAAATTCTTCCTAATGGCTGATTCCTTTTTAGGGTGGTACCGCCTTCATAAAATTCAAAAGTGATGTTCCAATTTTAAATTGATCTAATCTTTATGATTAGCTAAGAAGTATGTCGGCCGTAGGAGCCGCATATCTTCCCAAGGGACAATAGTTACTTCTACATTCCCTTTCTTGTTGACGTTTATTTTTTATTGTAATAGACTAACTCTACATAATTATTATTTATAAGATATATTTTAATTCTCTACAACACCATCTTCGAGACATAGCAATCACCATCGGTAAAAAATATAAACCATTTACTGCAAAAGACAGTAATTCATGAAGACTGTAAATCTGATAAAGTAACAAAATATATTCCAAAAATCACAAAGACGAGATACTAACAAATATATTCATGAATAAAATTAATTATTTGTAATCAATTGTGGAAAGCAAAATGATGCATGCTTCACATAGTAAGCTCCTATCAAAAACTTACATTTACAACTTCTTTCCATTGATAAATTTTGAAAAATTCATATGATAGAAAATCATAACATTTTTTTTAATAATCTACAATAAATTAAGAAGTTTAAATATTTATTTAATACGTATTACTGAACCTCCTTCCTTGATTCGTACTATATATTAATAAATTTTTTTAAAAATTAAATATAAGGTAAAAGCACTAATCCCTGACACGATTAAAGGCATTCTTTGAACTTTTAGGTGTAAAAACTTAAATAGTTATGTAATAGTATTTTTCTTGGATTCGTCTTATAGAACTACTTCTCTTTTTGCGGAGGCACATTTAAAATCCTTGAAACATTGTCCTCTTTTTTTAAAAACTGTGAATTTAGAGAATATTTTTCTTGTACCAGTAGATGACACTGTTCGATTTGAAATATTGCTATAGCTGACAGGGATCAGAACAAGGATATAATTATGCGAAATAAGGTGCTGAAATTTTATAATCTTCATTTTAAGATAGATATAAACAAAAATTACCTTTGTCTTATGATAAAACTAATTTCTTGTGTTTCCTGATTTAAATTTATCAGTAAATGCTGGACAATGTATTGTGCGATGGGAAAACCTATTTTTGCTTTGTATTTGATCTATATCACTAGCAATTTTTCTTTAAATAAGAGAATAGTAGATTGACCATTTTTAAGACCCATTATATTAAGTATACCTCTTTGAATTTCTGCGAATACATGCCTGTCAACAGCTGAAAAAAAGTCCAAGATTTTATTTTTTTTATTTTTAAACTTTTATTATGATATTTACAACTGTATTAGTATGAATACATCAAGTAAATTTGTACAGAGAAATATTATTACATGAAACACGCTTGTTGAGAAACTACCCACTGGTAGCACTCTAATAATTTGTCTACATGAGAAGATCACGAGGCCATCTTCTTTTCAGACGCCTCGGAGGGTTATCAGGAATCGAAGAGGAAGCAAGGTTAGAAACAAGAGGATTCGGATGCTTATGAAGTTTATTATGGAAGGATAGGTATCTGGATTTGGCCAAATCGGAAACATATGGAACATTGAGGTCTTTATTGATTATTTTATTAGTGACAAAGTAAGGAGCATTTTACGAAGGATTTTGGATTGTAAGGATTGGATGCGAGAGGAATTCGATGGTTTAGTGGAGACCCATAGCTCAACTCCGTAAGTCCAAATAGGTCTTATTATAGTCAAGTATATGAGTCTTTTGTAATCAAGGGGAAGTTTAGAGCGTTTGTCTAGTAAGTGTTGGATTAGTCGGAAACGTCGAGCGGTTTCTTGTCGCTTCAGTCTGGTATGAGGATTCCAAGTTAGACGTTTGTCCAAGTCCAAGATAAAGCTCCAATAGCTGGCACTCATTACATTTTGTAATTCCTTTAAGAATATAGGTTAAAAACAGACAAAGCACAACTAAAAACAGTCCAAGAAGAGAGAATCACTTTATTATCATAAAAGAGTGCTGCCCAATTACATTGGGTTGCTTTAAACATAGCATACTTATTAATCGCTACATACAATTTTCCAAAACTAATATACAATTATATAGTATTAACAATATGTATGAGCATAGTATACAATTATTTTTTATATTTTTTTTTCTTTATTTATTTTTTAAAATTTTTTTTTTTAAATATTGTTCCATAATAATACTGTGGGTTGTAGGTGCGTGCTCGGCTGGCTGGTCAAGTGGGGGCTTTCGACTCCTTGGGTCGGCAAGCCGTCCCTCATCAGCAAGGTACTCCTGTTGGGCTACGACGCTATCCTGGTCATCATGGTCTGCTACATGCTGTTCCTCCACATATACTCACTGACGCAGATCTCCTCTCCATTTCCAGTATGTCATAGTATTTAAGAAATCCGTGTTATTTGAGAAATGAGAGATTGAATTATCATTCGAAGTTAATCTTGAAATCTTTCAGTTTCCCTTAACATGAGCCATGTTTAAAAAAAAAAAATGATTTATGGAAAAGATTCTTATTGTAATTTACAATGTGTTACATCTTTCAGATTTAAAAAACAAAGTAAAATAAGGCGACAAAAAAAAACTAAGTATATTCATATTTCAGGAGATTTGGTATCCAATGTAATATCTGAAATATTCGTTCATTCAATACAGTGAATGAAGATTTCTTTTATTCCGTATATTTCAGAAATGAATTTTAATTTTACTGTGTAGTTTCGAAGTTTCAAAAAATTAAACTGTCAGATTTTTTTTTCTAATTTACAGATCGATAAAGGTTGTCCATACTTTGTGATACTTGGGTAACACATTTCTATTATTCATACGTCATTGCTTTCTGGCAATATTATTCTACCTGTTTCATTTAATTAAAGAAAGAATAATTTATAACAGTGTCTGAAAGATAGTAAGAAAAAGGTTAGTAACACATACAATATACGCGATTGAACTCATGAACGTCACATTTGGATCATTGTTTATATCAAAATTATAAAGCTACCAATTCCATTTAATTAAAGTGGTATATCACTATATCTGGATATGTTAACGTTAAGAAGAGGTAATAAAATTCCATAACAAAACTAAGACACAAAAAACCGAAAAATCAAAATTCTTTAACAATAATTGTTTAAAATCAGTCAATTTTTTTTAAATTCTCAGTTGTACCGTATTTGTTAATACATGTATTCTATTGATTTATTTCTATAGATTTTATACCTCGAATTCCACTCTAACTTGTTCTCACCTGTATCATTGTTCTTTAACCACGATTTTCAGTAGTATATTGTCTTTTTTTTTTACTTTACACCGCTATTCAGAAATCAATTAGAAACTGTTGTAAGTAATTTGTGAAAAAAATAAAGTAAATTCGTTATCCTCCTTTATAGTCTTCAAATGTCTTTTTAATAATTATTACGACCAATCATTTTGAGCTCACTAAGGGTACAAGAGAATTAATATAAGTAAATTAATTCTATGAATACACTATCATTGCATAACTTGAAGATTACTAGATAAGATAATACAGTGAGGCTTAGTTATAGACTCCTATCATAACCGATTGGTAATCGATCAAGAAAATGTAACAACAAATTAGTTTCTTCTGGAGTTAAGCGGGTATTCTGAAATAGTAAATCTTGGAGTAGATAACTATAAGAGAACTGGACTTAAAATTATGAATTTGATTTTCATTAATTCTTAGACTTGTCTAAAAATTATCAATCAAAGACTGTATAGATGAAATATTTATGCTGAATATTGAATATAAAATGAAACAAATATTCTAAATATTTGTATTTTATTCAGAACTTGTTTCACTTCGGGATCAGCGGTTCATTATACGGGTGCAGCTTGTCGATCACTTTATACATAGCGCTGTGCAGAGGAAGGCTTAAGATGATCACTGGAGACTTGGACTCAATCGCAGAGACTATCTTCAGGAACGAGCTTGGGGGTGCAGACTTCTTAGAGCAGCTCTACAAGAAGAACTCTAAAGTGATGGCGGTCCTGACAAACAACTCCATCTTCATCAGCTTCATCACACCGGTGACCTTCTGCTGGTCTGTCCCCTTCATCAGTTGGCTCGGAGGCAGGTACAGGTCCAGGCTTCCCATCCCCATCGACAGCCCTTACAACTACAGGGTGCCCGTCATCTACGAGCTGATGGTGGTCTTGATGTCTTCCTGCCTGGTCATCGCCTCGTCCAAGAAGGCCGTAGCAGACTGCCTCTTCATGTCCATATTTAACGCACAGATTACGATCCTCAAATACCTCTATTTCGCGAAAAAATATTTGCTCAAGAACAATGCGTTTGATCGTAATAAGCTTGTGACATGGATTAAGATTCATCAAGAAATAAACGAGTAAGTAGTTTTTGTTCTATGATTTCAATTACACACATAAGAAAAACAGGCGATACCGATATATTTCCATTAATAAAAACATTGTTCTGATTGATTGATAATTATTTCACCGAAAATTCATAAAGAGATATAAATAAAAATGACTAGAAAGGAAAAAAATGTACACAAATGCATAAACCCTACTTTTATGTTAATTTTACCAAGAAAAAAAATTAATTTGGATTTTCAAACATCAAGAAAAGATGAACAAAAACTATTTTGAATATTGTGTTAGAAGGTGTTGCCTGAAGCAAGTTGCGGCACCAACAGTTTTGCGAGTTTTATGGGGTTTTGAAATTTTGGAAGGCACACATTTTAAAAGAGTTAGAAATCATTGGAAGGGAATCATATTTTTGTGTTGTTCGATTCGGAGGAGCTTTCAATGCAGGGAAAGTGAGGACAATGGGGAATGGAAACAGCAAATGTAATTATATATTATCTATATTTTTACCAATTCAACTTTAACTTTTACTGATTTTAAGAAGAGGAGAGTGATAAAATTTCTTAGCGGGAAGGGAACTCGCATCATTGATCTTGAAAGGATGAGCACTCATTACCATGATTTTTTTTTTCAAATATTAATCTTTTCTTCGTAGAATAGAACAGAAAAAGACACTTTTTCTGTGACTGAGTCTACCCAAAAAAAAAATAATAAAATAGAAAAACAATAGGTTAATCTTGATTACATTGAAATTTAATAATTACTTCACTAGTTGAGACCTGAAAAAAGTATTTTAAAATACAGTAAATAAATTCCACCTAGCTTGTATTGTGAAAATGTTGTGTATTTAAATTACAAAGAATTTAAATTGCTTGTAGAACAATTATTTCGAATATAAAATATTAAAAGTAGCTTTTTTTATTCCAAAATTTTATTTTAATCACATTGTTGTATTTAAGTAGTTACATTTAACAAGTTTTTTTGTTGTTGTTTTGTTTTTGGATTAAATTAGATATGAAATCAGGATATAGTGGATATACTGTTAAAATAATTAATTGAAAATAAATAATTTTACTTAATTAATATTATTTTTGAATAATTTGTAACGAAACTGATTCTTTGTCAATTATTTAATTTTAAGGAAACCTAATATAATCTAATATATAGATTGAACTGTTCAGTTTTCCTTGCTGAAAAGTATTAAATAGTTTTACTAAAGAGAAAAAGCACACCTCCTTCCCTGCCAAAAAAGTTGATGATTGGGGATTAACTTTTAGTTTAATTTGTAATCAAATCAAAGAGTTAAAATCTCAACTTAAATTAATACTGCATGAGTTCACCTACTACCAACTAATCAGGGTGAAACTATAAATTTCATCCATAAATAATAAAAAAGATTTAATGAACAAATCTTTTTTGCTTACATATTCTTTTTCGGGGTTATCAAGGTATAATTTAAACTAAATTTACCCTTGAATAATTTATGATAACCAACATAATTACTAATACAAATTTTAGATAGCTAAATGTTTGGTTGCAGGAATATAAGGCTGCTCATCGAAACATTTTCTCCCCTCCTGATAATATATAGTGTGGGTGTGGTAACCATCGTTGTCAGTGGAGCGTCTGTGCTTGTGATGGTATAAATCTTTAGTGTAAATAGACATATAAATATATCGGTTTCCCTTTTTTAATGATTCTCAAAGAAAATTTTGATTTCAGAATGATAACAACAATCTAATACAGCCAATAAGCATCGGGACTTTTATTGCCATTACGGTCCTTTATTATTATCTTCTATCCAACACTGCAGAAGAACTCGGTACAGAGGTATGTTTTATATACATACTTGAGCCCTATTCTAGCATTAGTTTATATATAGATTCGAACCTTGTCTTCAAAACATTTAACTGGCATTAAAACAGACTTTAAACAGTACTGAAACCAAAGGTCTGACTTTCATATCATGATTTATTTATTTCCTCCAGAATCATAAATTATAAACGATAAGTCTGAATAATGATAAAAAAAGATAAACGGACCCAAAGGTTCAACTCCTACACTTCAATAGAAACCAAATTTTTATAATTTTTTTTTTTAGGATACATATTCATAATATTATCATCTCAGTTCATTAATTCATTTTATGGATTGAATTATTTATATTACTGAACTTAAATTTTTTTCTTAATCTAAAAATTAAATTTGATACCTTCTCCATTCTTCCTCTTTTCTCCAACCTAACTTCATAATATCTCCACGAGGTGTATACCGAAAATTTGGAGTTCATTTATTTACTCGAACAACCCATATTGTTAAATCCCTTTAAATAAGTTTCAATGAACTCATTATCATTTTGCAAGAAATTCGACTAATGTTATTATAATATATTTCTTTCAAATCCATTTTAATAATTTTTAATGCTGCTCAAGATGTTAATAAGTAGTTGAGTAGTTCAAGTCAACAAGTTGGTCCTTTAAAAATAGATTATCGCGACAACTTAAGGCATAATATTTTATTATTTACTTATTTTGGGTTCAGACCCATTATTAAAATACAAGTAAAGTGAAATTAAAAAAAAAAAATCTCCCTATTAACACACTTCCTCTGCCTTCATATTGATATAATAATTCAATAAAAATTAATGATGTATTATTATTTAATCTGCTGTTATAAACTTCTATTCCTTTTAGTCAATCTATTATTCTTATTGTTGCTCATATACTTCCTATCCTATTTATTAATTATTTTATTTATTATCTCATTTATTATTACCACTATATATCCATATCTATATATAATCTTAATTATCATTTATATTTTATATTATATAATATAATTGTATAGATCTCATATATTGCCATTTAATATATATTATATTACATTAACATTGTGTTATAATTTATTATATCAAACAAAAAAAAGTATAAAAAAAAATGTAACTATGTCAAAATGATTTATTTCTCATAAATGGCACTGACCGATAGATGTTGCCATTTGGTCGGACCAAATTGTAATCATTGGTTCATAAACTGTAAGCTCTAAATTCATCCAAATTATAACATCTTTGATTTTTTTTCAACATATAAGCTTGATTTTGTTATTAATTTGTAAATGAATAAAAGTTATAATCACTCATGGACATTATACGATTATTCTAAAAATTATAATTGGACCGAAAGTAATTCAATGTCTAATATTAACTTGCATGTTGCTGAACTTAATTTATTGTCATTGCTTTCAGGCACAGAAGTTGGCATTCGTGGCTTATGACCTTCCATGGTATGAAATGAAGAAATCAGAAGCGGATATAGTGCGAATGTTGATCTTCAAAACCAACAACCCAATTCATGTCACCGCCTACTGCGCACCTGTATTCATGTTGAACAGAGAGACCTTTAATGGAGTAAGCAACAAATATAATTTTTATAATATAAAATATTATCGTAGATATCAAGGTCATATCTTGTTTCAGTTTATGGTGACAACAATTTCTGCTTTTTTAACACTGAGTCAGATAAAAGATCGTTTTGACTGAGGAAGTTTTAACCATGTGGTGAATCTCAAATGGAAATCAACTCAACAATAATCCAAAAATATTACTGTTATAATATTATTATGCATAATAAATGTTGATTATTGAAAATTATCTTATTTGTGACTGAAAAATTATACTATTATAAAATATTTCTAGTAAAAACACAGAAGTGTAAATTATATTGCAGATTATATTACATACTGTATTTTACAATAGATAGAATGATCATACTGTCTATATTCAGTAAAAAGACATAGGATTCATGTTTATATAAACCTTCAATGAGATTTAAACTTTTATTTGTGTTTTATAGCCATTATATATTGAGATATTAAGACAGAAAGATGCTCATGTTGCTACCAAGAGGACTGTAATGTACAGTCCAATAGTTCCCAAAAAATCATATGAAAGAAATACTTTCTTAATAAGTTAAGAACCAAGTATATTTCATTCATCATTCAACAAAGTATATTTTAGATCAACAGTGAGCATCTGTACATGACTTTTTACAAAGCATATCGAAGACAACTTTTTCATGAAATTTCAAACCAGGAATAATTTGATATCCAGATTTTAATTTTTGAAAAGGAATTAGATCCGACTATCAGCATTTTTTTTTTTTAATTTTAATAATAATGAAATTACTTTGCATGAATTCACTAGAAGATATACTGAAGGATTGAAGAATGATTGAGAATTGAATTCAAAACAGTAGCAATAAATGCCTTTTGAATAAAACAGCTTATTGTGGGAAGTTTTTTATTGTTATCCAATATTTAAGGTTAGTTCTATTCTAAGAATATTCTGCACTTGTGTTTATTGCTTCCTTGTGTAATATTAAATTCAAACCTTTGCTAGTCGTAGAATTATTTACCCATATATTTAGTATGGACAAGATAGTAAAATAAAAAAGTAAATATTTAAACACACAGATATATTTATATTTATATAGTGCAGAAGAGGGATGACTGGGAGTTAAAGTTGCAAGAAGCATTGTCTCCACGAGGGATGTAGCGCTGTGTAAGAATAATAATAATATATTTATATTCATAAATCATTTAATCAATCACAAGAAGTGCATAAATATGCAGTTGATACAATAGAAATCAAAGTCTTGCAATTAAAGCCAAAATAGTAAATTGTGCAACTTTGTACAATATCAAATTCCAATATATTATTCTACAGATCCTGAAATGGGTAGATAATCAAGTCACACACATGTGAAGAAAATTACAATAACATGAAAATCTGGTCTCTAATAATAATTAAATAATAAAAAAAATGAAGTTTTTTTCAGCTTTCTTGAGAAAAAAAAATGTGTTAATGTTTTCAATAATTAACTATAATCAAATGAAATATTAACTTCAAATGTGTTGACTTTGCACATACCAATGTCACCAACTCCCTTAAAACACTATATTAATAATGTTTATAAAAAGGTTGTGAATAAAAAGTAAATCATCAAACCAAATAGTTAACCCACTAAAGAAAAAAAACACTGGTAATAAATTAAACTCTTCATGAAAATAAATAATGATCTTGCACGCTGTTCAAAGTTTGAAAAATTGAAAGCTGTAGTTAAAGATATAAAATCAGGATTAACCATTGAAAAAATTATTTTCCATCAAAAAATTACTTTCATACCTATTCTTATACTTAATCTCATATTAAACTTAACAAAAATTAGTTGTAATATATTGGGTTGGCAAATAAGTCCTTTTGGTTTTTCTGTTTATTTTTATGTCACTATGATAGACTTCTTATATGATGAATTAATCTCTAGGGTGGATTCTTTTTCCTATTTATAATATTTCAACAACTATATATGTAAACTCTTGTTGAAACTAGCTTAGTATTGTGTTTGCCATTGCACTGTGAATATGAAAGAAAATATCATTCATTATCAGCATATTTTATTGTATTATTTTATAAAAGGTAAGTGTGCTATAGAAGGTCATAGACAAATTTGAAGTGTTTATGGGGATGATGACTTAACCAAACACACCTGTCAAAATTGTTTTGCCGAATTTCGTTCAGGAAATTTTGACATCAATGATGCTCAACGGTCTGGTCGCCCACATTAAATTGTTAAACTACTAAATCGCAATGTTAAAACCATTGTTGATCAAAATTCCAGCCAATCAGTACAAGAGATTGCTAGAACCCTACATGTGTTACACACAAGCATAGAAAACCATTTGCACAAGCACAGCTGTGTTTGCAGGCTTAATGGGTTCCTCACATGATTTTTCTTTGAAAATCACAACAAATGTTATAACTTCAATAAGACTTTAGCTATTTACAAGAAATTTAGCAGAAATTTATGGCCACATAAACTACACAAAATGACATCAACAGGACCTTATTGAACAAAATATGAATTGAGATAAAAAATAAAACCTATAAGTAGTTTTTGCTTATTTATTCCTTATGTAGGCATTAAATCAAAAAACCATTCATACGGCTTTGAAGAGCAATAATTCAGCTTTCCAACAAATATAGTAACATTGAATTTTTAGAACATCCTGAAGAGTTATGAATGATCGGAAGGATATTGTGTTCCACCAAGACAACACTAGGCCTCACACTTCATTTGTCACTCGCAATAAATTATTAAGCCAAGGATTGTAAAATTTTGCCTCCCCCCCTATTCACCAGACCTAGCTCCAAGCAACTACCATTTATTCCCGATCTCTGCAGAACTCATGAAAATAAATTCCATGAAAGAAATTCCAAAAGTAATAGGACATCAAAAACCACTTGGATCAGTTTTTTAACAATAAACTCCTGACATTCTATGAACATAGCATTATGCAGTTAGTGGAAACATGGGAAAAAGTCATATTAAATAATGGTCAATATATTGTAGATTAAAATAAATTTTATGTCTATAATACATTGAGTTTTATTTCACCTTGAAAAACCAAAAGGACTTATTTACCGACCCAATACTTGTACTTACTGCTATAGTAAGTTGAATTGTTTTTTCTTTACATATTTTACAAAATCAACTTAAAAAGAAGGAGGTACCTTTCCAGAATAACGAAATCAATCAGAAAATAATAAAAAGTAAATAACACATTTTATCATTTTTGATGCGTTTATTCTTTAGATATAAAATAAAAAATATATAAGTTTAATAATCAATAATTATAAACAAAATTTCATAGAATGATATTTTTGAAAACATAAGATCTTTCGATAAATACACACATAAATAAATCCCCCTACTGAGCAATAGAACTGTGATTTGTGAAAATAGAACTGTGATTTGTGGAAATTGTTGTTGTCAGATGATGTTTTGCAACTGTAATTGGAATTTCAGTGTTAAAGTAAGCAGGCTGTAATGAGTAAGAGGTTCTTTGACGATATCATGTTGATTTAATTTTTAGATAGAGTTAATTTTTATCTTGATTTAAATGTTTCTAATACTAGAGTGCTACAAATGGGTAGAAACTCTACAAGGCTTGTCATGCCATATATTTCTGTGTATCACATTTACTGAATGTATCTTAATTTGTGAAGTTGTAAATTTCATTAATAATAATTTTAAATAAAATTTCTTAGGTATTGTATCTCACATGAATGAAGTTTTCTGTTCTTTTTCCAAATTTAAAAAAAATCCATTCAATTTTTTTAAAGTTAGGAGAAAACAATATGCTGAAGGTAGGTAATAAATGTTTATTTTTTCTTGTATTGTAGCAAGGAAATACTTTCCTTTTTAATTCAATTTACATTTGATTAGGTAAGTTCAAAGTGGAAACACTTATATATTTCATATGATGATATGAATGGTCACATGACCATCATGTTTTTTCTCATTTTCAAAATTAAAAAAAAAAAAATATGGAAGGAACACAGTATCAAAATGTGAGTGAAAGATTCGGTTTGAATAGTTTTGAACCTTTATTTTCAATTTTTCAATTGAGACTATGTAAAATTAAATGAAGATGATAACAAGAAACTTATAAAAAATGTATGATGATATCAACACGTCATTTCAACATCCATCTGCATGATCATCAGATATGAAAACTATGCAACAATAAATAATTGACCATCTTTTAAATGTAGAAACTAAATATATTTTGAGAAATATTTTTTAAATTGTAGTCTATTGACAGCCACACGGCAAAAGCCTCTTAATACAATGTTATTGTTAAAATGTAGTTTTAAGATTTTCTGGTAAATCTTGGTATGGCATATAATCAGAAATACAAACCAAAAGCATTATGTAAAATATTACAACTTTATCTTATAAGTTCTAACATTGTAATGGAAAGTATAGATGATTATATAAAATAATGAATAATTTTTGTCTATGCACTTATAGGCTTTTAGAACATGGATGTCGATATGATATAATGTTTGTTATTAGAATTTAAATAAATGAACAAAGAATGAAGCTTCATTTCTTCTTGGTTTATTAACTCTGATGGTGACTGGCCGTTTGGCATACATTTCAGTGAGAAAATAAATTATATGTATACTTTACTAACCTGCAGATATTTCTCTACATCATAGGTTTTACTTCATATTATATTTTTCAATCATAAAGCTATTTTTTAAATTTTAATCTTCTACTCCAACGCTTGTACCCCATCCTAGATTCTAATAATATAATCCCTGATCACCAATTTGGATTCCACAAATTCCAGTCCACTATCTAGCAATGTCTTCGTATGGTAGACATAGTATCCTCTGCGTTGGAGCACAAAATGTACTGTACGGTACTGTTTCTCGACGTTGAACAGGCATTTGATAGAGTCTGGCACCCAGGACTGTTGTACAAACTTCGTAAATTCCTACCACCTACATACTTTCTCATTATTCGTTCATACCTTACTGATCGATACTTCAAAGTAAATCATAATAACGCATGTTCATCCCTCTTTTTCCAGTCTGCTGGTGTTCTTCAAGGAACCATCCTTGTAGAATATAGCTGATATCCCGACCCATCGCAGCACGGTCATCACCATCTATGCAGATGACACTTGTACCCTATCTGTTAATAATGACCCTTTAATTGCATCCCAAACACTCCTA